AGATTTGTCCCAGTGTCATGGCAACTAGTACAAGGGCTTCAAAGAATGACCAAAGAACCACTCTGCTGTTTGTGTTGTCATTAACTGTTGGGAGAAAAAAAGGAAAAAAGTAGTAAGTAACAAAGCACTTAAACTGAAAACATCCTGCCATGGATCTGCTTTTAAACCCACTCAGGACATAATTGCAGCAGTTTTCTCTATTCTGCCCTCTGAACTGCCAAACAAAACCTCCTGCTTTTTCTGAGTCAAGCAGGGAACTTCTGATCTCTGAAGGTTCTACACATTCAGATTTTTCTTAAATCAGACCATTAGTAACACATGTCACAAAACTGGAGATATTCATAGCTTCAAACAATTGAGGAGCCAGTGGTTTTATATAATGTTTTTTCACATCAAAACTACTTGCCCTTGATTCTCACCCATGAAAGTAACAGTAGCTCTGCTCTGTTTCAACAAAACATTTTAAAAAGAGACTTTGGCTCAATTGCTAAACCACATCCACCTCAAGGGTGAAGCAACAGCTCAACCAAAGTTTAGGAACCAAATCATGGAATGCTTTGGGTTGGAAGGGACCTTAAAACCCATCCCCCACCATGGGCAGGGACACCTGCCTTGGGCACCCCCAGCTTCTCTGGGCACGCTGTGCCAGGGCTGCACACACTCCCAGGGAGGAATTTTCCCACTTTCTGATCTAAACCTTCCCCATTTCAGTTTAAAACCATCCCATGGTTTACCCTGCCCTTGTACATGGATTAAACAATACCACCACTGGTATCTCCATGAACACACCATTCAAACTGCAGAATTTACATTGCTTAAGCAGAACTTACAGCACTTAAGCAAATGTTATTTTTTGTTTCCCATTTATGTTATATGGGAAGCCAATTTAAAGACGACTTCAAGCAACACCCACATCCTTTATTATGTCAGGTCCTGCAGGATTCAAATGATTCTTTTTGCAGCCACTTGGACAAGCCCTGCTGGAGCCATGCACAGGGAGTGCAGGGGGAGCAGGGGCTGAGGCAGGCACCTACTTGCTCGGTGTATTCTCTCACGGACCTCCATGTACTCCTGCTCGTGCTTCACTGCTGTCATGGCCACTGCCAACTCGTTAATCATCTCTTCTAGCTTGTTCTGGTGAGCTGCAGAGTAATTTCAGAAGCATCAGAAAGTCTGTTAACGGCTGCAGAAAGGGATTTCAATGAATTTATGAGCAGTTAAAGGTAATTTCCTGCTGCAGGAGGTCTGACAGTACAGCTGGACACTTCCTACCCTCACAGCCAGTTTCTGTGGCACTTTCCCTAACGTGTCTCTGTGGTGTTTAACAAGTGGGAAAACATTTCTCCACATCCAAATAGGAGACACAGTTCAGACTCAGGAGAGACCCCACATTTCCACTGTGCACATACTTTTCCAGGAGAACAGAATGGAAGAATGCACGAGATCAATACCACACACTAATATCTATTTTGCCAATACCATCCAATATATTCCAAGCAAATTATCTTAACATGACAGCTTTTCCTAGTTGTTAAGCTTGCAAAAATAGAACAACTGAGAATTTAGCTCAAGATCATGATGCTGGCAAATCATGAGATCACTTTCTGAAGCAAAAAAATCACACCCTGTGATCTTCAAGCTCAGCTGAAACCCAGCACTGAGGGGGCACAATGCCCAGGGGCCTGGCACAGCCTGCTCTTGTGGTGTTGTGAAAGCAGGAGAGAGTTAAATACCAAACCAGTAGCACAAAACCAGCCTGAGACAGCTCAGCAAATGGAAGGCTCAGAGATGTAAGATTTAGTGGTTTGACTGTCAATCACAGGCTCTTTTTAAGACATCCACGCTCCAAGAGCTGTCCATCACAGATTTATAAATTAGGCAAGTCATTTGCAGAGATTTCTAGCATCAGGTTGAGGTATCATTCCACAGACATGCCCTGGGCAATCAGCTCTCTTTAAAAGCCACAAAACCCAACACATTTTCCTTTCAAGGGACATTGACTTGGGAGCTGCCTTACTACAGTTTTATTTGTAAATTAAGTGTTTCAGATCACAGTCTGAAAACAGAGCTATTCAAATCACACACCTTGTGGGGAGCAGTCAAAAGAGAGGACCAGAGAATAACACTCATACAAGTTACAATTAAAACCTAAATGGTTGTGCAAACTTTGCTAAAAGCTCAGTTCCCTTATTTTCATGGCCAACTGGTCACTGCAGTAAGTGCAGTTTATCAGTAGGAAAAGAAACTACAGTTGCAGGGACAGTCTAAAAACACTCTAAAAATTCACTTTAGAAAACTGTCTTATTGCACTCATACTCTTTACAACAGATATAAACAGACTCAATAAAAGATTTAAGTGAGTCTTCAAAAAAAAATCCAAAGTTTGGAATGTGCTATATGTTAAGTGACATCAAGCACTCAATGCCCAAGTTATTTACTTGCTAAAATAGAAAACAAGAATTTGTTGCCCTTTCTACCTACAGTCACTGACTCCTAAATAAACTTTATAACTTGGTATGCAATACATTCATTTTTTTTTACAGCAAATGACAAGTTTGAGTTTTTCCCCTGACACATCAGTAATAATTCATAACCTAGGAGCAGCTTATTGCTTCCAAAAGATTTTGATTACTCAACATCCCCTTTAGCAAGAGAAGGCAAACACTGCCAAAAACATCCAGCACTCTTGGATGCTCAAAGTTTTAGCTCAGTTTCACCTAAACTGATTAAATCTTCTGTCAGCCACGAACAACAAACTGCCGTGGCCACAAGGACCTGATCCCAAACCTGCCCTGGGAGCCTGCAGGTGCTCAGCATTGCTCAGAATCAGACCTTTTGGGTAGTTTATTAAACAAAGACATTCTCATGCTCCAAACCAAGGTTACAGAGAAAAAGCCAAGTTAGCTGTTAGTGAATGAACATGTGCCAGAGACAAGATGCCAAGGAGCTTTCAAAAAGCAGTCCACATACCATCCCAGGTATCTCCACCACCTAGAGGAAAGTGTGAGAGATGAACACGGGTACAGGACAAAAGGCTGCAGATAAAACACTCATTTACACAGCTATGGGAGAAGTTTTCTATCAGCACATTCACCAGCTAAGGCTCCACACTGCTGAGCCTGCTGGAGTCAGAGGATGGCACTGATGAAGGGCTAAAGGATGGAAGCATTAGTGTCTGCAGATGGCCGAGGGATTCTCTGGTGGTTTTTGCCTCACATTGTGTAACCAGCTCTAAAAACATCCACTTTGGCTGTGCAGGAGGGCAGCTAATCCCACCTGGAGGAACGGGAATGCTGAGAGCCCTACTCAGGTTCCCAAGTCATGCAAGGAGGGCTGAGCTCCTCCCAGGGCTCCTCCTCACCTTCTGTCTCCATGTCCTGCCCCTTGGGAGCCTCCCCGATGTCGATGGTGAACATCACTATCTTGGGGGTCATGGTGGACATCCTGTTGCTGAAGCAGAACTTGTAGGTGCCGTCCATGTGGGCAGCAAAGGTGTATTTCCCACTGGACTCCCGGTCGCCTTTATAAATCCCTTTGTTATCGGGGCCCGTGATCTGCGGGGGGAAGCAGAGGGTCACACCTTGTGCTCCACACCCAGGGCCTGCCGTGCCCCCTCACAGCCCTGCCAGGCAGCCACTCACAGCCTCCAGGGCCACCTGGCTGCTCTGGCACGCTCCAGTCTCTCCCTCCCACAGCTCCCCGCACAGAAATCTCTTTTATAAAACACCACAAACTTCTTGGTGAAGGAAATCAAGCAAAAGCTTCTCTCCCTGGCCTCCTGTGGCCGAGATAAGCAGTCAAGAACAAGCAAACCACAAACCCTGGCTGCTTGGCAAATCAGCAACTGCAGGGGAAACCTTATCTCTGCTGTCTGAAGGAAAACAAAAAGGGAAAAAGCCAGTCTCCCATGGGCACAGCCGGGCACTGCTGCAGCCACCATTTCAAAGGGACTGAACGCCCGAGTTCCGAGCTCTCGGGGTCACTGTGCTCTGATCCCCATCCCGCCAGGCCACGCTGCCCCGAGCCCGCACCGCAGACACGGCAAGGGCACCTCGGAGCTGCCAGCCTGCCCTGGCTCAGCCCGGGGTCATCTCCAGCTGCCGCGGGCTCTCGGCAGCACCTCCCGCTCTGTGACACCCCAACAAAAACCTCTCAGCTCCCAGGCGAGGGAGGCAGCTCCTGCTCGGCATCTCCCGGTCTGATTCCTCCTCGGAGAGCGGCGTTGGCTCAGAACCGGCCCGAGGCCACCCCCGGGGGTGCCGGGGGCGGCCCCGCCGCTGCTCCCGCTGCCGGGGCTGCACCGAGCGCGGCGGGGCGGGCACCCCACGGGACGGGGGCTCAGCGGCACCGCACGGGTCGCCGCGAGGGGCCCCGCACACCGCGCGGCCCCGGGACCGCCCCGCTGCCCAAGGTCGGCCCGCCCCGCCGCCGCCGCCGCCGCCGCACCTCCACGTCGATGTCCAGGAAGCCGCCCTCCGCCACCTCGAAGATGAGCCCCATCTTGGTGCCGGACGGCACGCGCTCCAGGAAGCACTCCTCGGCGTGCGCGTCGATGCTGACGAAGTAGGCGGCGGCCGGGGCCGCCAGCGCGGCCAGCAGCGCCAGCACCGCCCGCACCGGCGACATGGCGGAGCGAGCGGCCGCGGCACCGAGCGCCGCTTCCGGCCCGCGCCGCGCCCCTTCCGGCGCACGGGGCCGCCGCTCATTGGCCGCCGCCGCCCCGCTGCCACGTACGGGCTGCGCTACGGCGGCCGCCGGGAGACAAAGGGCGGCGGCACCGCCAAAGCGCTGAGGCAGCGCCCGCGCGGCGCGGGAGGCGGGACCCACGCGCGGGAGCAGCCAATGAGAGGGGAGAAGAGGCGGGGCGCTGGCAGAGACAACCAATAGGAGCACGGATGAGGGGGCGTTGCCCGGCAACGGGGCGGGGCGAGCGCGGGAGGCGGGAAACGCGGCTGAGGGGATGGGGGGGGGCGGCTCCTGAGGGACCCGGCGGCTCCTGAGGGAAGGAGGGCGGGCGGGAGCGATAAAAGGCGGCGGTCCCAGCGGCTGTCAGGCGGCCGAGGCTGCTGCTAAAGTTGGGAAATCAGACGTTGCTGTAGTGAGGGAGATGTTTGGGGCGTAGCCAAGGCGTTAATAGGGAAGCCCGGCTTGTGGGCTATTCACGCTTAAGGAGAATAAGTCATGGCACGTCCAGTTTGGCTTCACCCGAGAGCAACTGTTTAAAAACGCACTCATTGCATGACCACGCTTAAGCGCTAATTTCCAATTAAACCTCCCAGACAGAAATACAGAACTTCACGCTTGAGCTCAGGGCAGCCTGTTTTTAATGATGTGGGAGCAGTCAAAGACTGACACAGTCCGAGTTTCCAGTGAAATATTTATGCGTTGCTTTTGCCGGTTGTTGCACGCGTTTATCTGCAGAAATGCAGATTTACAGCAGTGTGTTCTGCTCTGTCCCTCCAGTGCCAGCTGTGGGCCGGCAGCGCTGCTGTGCCAGGGCAGGCACAGGCTGTGGGCAAGCGTGGGCAAAAACCTGCAACAAGTGTGGACAAAAACCTGGTAAGAGACTTTTCCATCGGTTTGCATCAGGCCAACATCGAACCTGCTGCTTCCCATACCACACACTGCTGGATTTTCACCTTTCTCAGCTGTAGTTTTAGTCTTTCCTCACACGTTCCCTACATTGTTATATTTTCTGTCTGCCCACGCTCAAACAGAACAATGGGAACTCGCGTAGCACCAAATTCTTGTGGCAAAAACTCTTTTTCTCATCTCTAATTTGGGTAAAACTATGATTTCACAGCATAGCTGCTCCCCTGAGGTACTGCAGTGTTCTCCAAGCATTCTGCTCCTCTTTGTGTGTTCGTAAGCACCTTTGCCAGGAAAGGATGACTACTCCATTATTCACCCTCCTGCTCTCCCTGGAACTTTGTGCAATATCCTGTGGTGTTCAACTTCGGGAATAAGTTTTATTAACAATATATAGTTATATTTTCACTGAGTTATTGCTCCAACTTCGGCAATTGATCACCTGGCTCAGGCATTTGGGGACAGATTGTTCCCCTCCTGGCTGCCCCGGTACCTCCTGAGAGGACATGAGGAAAATTGATATTTTGTACCTTGTGGGAGAACGAGGTTGTGACAGAATTGCATTAAAAAGCTGGTCTGGGCGTCACAGTGTTGCATTTCTGGGAGCTACAGTGTTCCATTTCTCATCGTTCATCCCTCCCATTCACCTTTGCTGGCGTTTTGCACCTGCCAAAAGTGGATAATTAATGCTGTATTCACAACATGCAGCACGTGCCAAGTCATTCCAGGCTTGGCTTTTGCAGCCCCACTGCTATTTCTCCTGACTAGTTCCAGTGTTTGATATTATTCATCATATCTTGTTCAAAATAAAATGCATTCTTCCTACTCTGCATACAGAAAATGGCAGAACTGGGACCTACAATTATTTCCAGGTACATTTAACTTATCTGTAGACTCATCTGGAGCATCTCTTCCTAAACCCTACGGAAATGAGAACATCCAAACTTTCACAGTCACACCTGAAAGAAAAAAATACTGAAAAACCTGACGAGAAAAACGCATTTCAGTTTCCTTTAAATTCCTCTGTAAGGGGATCCATGCCAGCGAGCTGCTTGCATGTGTGAAACCCCCAGTGATCCCCTGAACGTGTGCTCGGTAAAAACTTGTAGAGAAGAGCCTAAACCCGCTAAGCGATGTGTGTGCGCCGCTGGCTGTGCTGCAGAGCGGCTCGTTCAGCCTTCCACGTGAAGGAAGCGCGAACAAGCCTTCCCTCGTCCTCCGTGCGCCCGGGAGCGGGGCAACACCGCCCCCGCTCCATCCCGGACCGGGCAGGGCGGCTCCGGACCCCGCTCGGTGCTGGGCACCGCGGACAGCCCTGCCCCGGCTGCTGCATCGCCTGTGCGGGACCCGAGCTCTGCCCCCGCAGCCCCGCAGGAGAGGCCGGTACCGGGAGCTGCTGCGGGCAAGCACCGAGCGAAGCGCGGCCGCGCCTGGCGAGCGAAACCCCGCGGAGCAGCGACTTCCCGGAGCCGGGACTGGCGGGGGACGGCCCCGGGAGCCGGGATGCGCCGGGGATGGCCCGGGGATGGCCCGGGAACGGGGATGAACGGGGACGCACCGGGAGCCGCGGGCATGCGCGGGGCCGCCCCCGGCCCGCCCTGCGCCGGGCATTGGCCGCGGGCGCGGGGCGGTGGCGGCGGGGACACGCGGCGCCGGGCGAGCCATGGACGGCGGCGGCGGCGGCGGGGTGCCGCCCGCCCTGGAGAAGAACGCGGCGGAGCTGACGGTCATGGACGTGTACGACATCGCCTCGGCCGTGGGGCAGGAGTTTGAGCGGGTGATCGACCAGCACGGCTGCGAGGCCATCGCCCGCCTCATGCCCAAGGTGGTGCGGGTGCTGGAGATCCTGGAGGTGCTGGTGAGCCGCAACCACATCAACCCCGAGATGGAGGAGCTGCGCCTGGAGCTCGACCGCCTGCGCCTGGAGAGGATGGACCGCATCGAGAAGGAGAGGAAGCACCAGAAGGTGCGGGCGGGGAGCGGGGGGACGCGGCGGGGCAGGGCTGCCCCCGCTGCCGCAGCAGCTCCGGGGGAAGTCGGGCTCCCCCGCCGCCGTTGTCGCCCCGCCGCCGCCGGGAGCACAAAGAGCGGGGCCGGGATGCCGCGGGAGCGGGCGGTGCAGCCCGGGCGGGCTCACGGGCTCGGCGCCGATGCTGCCTTAGCGTCGCCGAGGCTTTGGGCGTGTTGTTGTTTTTTTTGTTTGCTTCCCTCCTGGAAGTTTCCTCCCTCTTTCCCTTTCTCCACCCCTTCCCCAGTCCCTGCATTTCCGTCCCCTGTGTCTGGCCGATTCGGACTCCTGCTCCATCCCCTCTCCTGACCGGAGGATAGTGCTGCTTCCTGCTAGGCCAGGAAAGGTCACTGACAAGAATACACTTTCCTCTCCGGAGCTGGGAATGATTTAGCAGTCTAGTTTTCCTGGAACAGACTTCGGGTTAGACAAGTCATAGGCGAGAGATGGAGAACCAAGTGATTTCAGAGCAGAGTTAGAGCAGGGAAGAGCACCCTGCCAGATTGCTGCTCCATCCTCTGATGGCAAGATGTTCCTTGGCTTGTTTTGGGGTGCTCATAGAGTTCCCTGAGCCCACTCCCATTAAAGCCCGAGGCAGAGAGCATTTCCCACACCCTGTTAGCCTCTTATGGCAGGACAGCACGCTCCAGTTACTGCAGGAAAAGTGGCAGATCCACTCTTTAAACCATCCAGATAACTGATACAAGAAATGGTTCTGGTAAATGACTATGCTAAATCATCATTGCTGCCATTCCTAATTCCACACACAGAATCAGGATAAACAGGGCACAGTGGGCATTTCTGGAAGAGAGCCCCCAAACTTCAAGATTTGGCTTAACTGGATAAACTCCAGTTTTATATTTCAAAAAGAGTCAGCTAAAGGACTTTCACCTAGCATATGGGAAACCCAGGATAGACCCTGCAACATTTTGCAGAGGAAGTCTCAGGGCAATCTCTCCAAAGGAAGGTAAAAGACCTTTAATGTACAAAGACGTGATAAATCTCAAGAGTGTGATAGAAGAAGGTCTAGAGAATAGATACAAATATTTTGGGCATTTACCAAAGGCTGGGGGTGAAGCAGATACTGAACTGGCCCAGTGTCATTGTACAAGCTGTTCTGTGGAGAGGTTTCTGAAGTTCTTATAAGTGTTAAAAAGTTTCCTAAAGGTGTCAGCTGATCTCCCTGCCAGTCAACCACCTCTGCTCGGTCAGCTTCTCTGAGGGTCATCAAGTGGCTCAGGGAGTGTTTAAACAATTTGCTTCAGTCTAAACAGATTTTAACAGGAAAATAAACTGTAGGATACATACCTTTTATTTTTCTTTTTAAATCAAGCTGGTTCCCAGTGTACCAGGTCCCTACAGAACTGTGGTCTCACATCTTCTGTGTTCCAATGGGAGGGTTTGAAGACTCTTTCACAGGACAGGTGCTGATAAGCAATAAAAATCAGACACTGAGAAACAGTTTTAGATGTCAAGGCCTCCAAAAAATACCCAGACAAAGCTTTTAGTGGTCCTTGCAAGCATCATTTTATGAGATTTCAGCACTTAAATTTTATGTGTGAATCTGTTTTGCTTGTAAACCTGGCTCAGCACCCACTGCCTGGGGCTTCCTGAGCTGGCTGGCACTGCCTGGCCCACGGATGTGCCTCCCTGTCTGGTGCTTCCACTAATGAGGATTCAGAAGTTCATTTCTGCTCCAATTCATTGGGCTCTTCAATAGTAATAAGTGATAAAGTTTGCCTAGGCAAACCTTGGGATAGTTGTGTGTTTACAGTGCAGCCACATATTAATAAGATTAGATTGTTTGGGGGTTTGTGTGCATTCTATTTTGGTTTTATCAATATGCTTGTAAGTGATGAATGTGCTGGTTTATTGCTAAAATAGGTCACTGCGTTATTTTAGCTACAGAGTTGTAGCAGGCAGCATCACTGTAAACAATCCAGGTTTTTTTGGAAATAGCAATTTCATTACAGATTTACTTTTCTCTCAAGATAAAGAGTTTCAAGTAAAATAGGTGATTAATGAGATTTTCTTTCCTGTTTAATAGTTAAGTCTCTGTAGCTTACCACGCCTTTGCTATTTATTATTCTTTATTATAAAACCTAATGTTTTCTGCAACACTTTTAGCAGCAATACAGTAACAAATGCTGGAATAAAATGGCATTTGGACCCAAAAGTCATCAGGAACATGACTTCCCATTATCAGAGCATACATTCAAAGCAGAGAGCTATCCTTTAATCTCTCAGCAGAGCTTATTTTAGCCTCGAGCTGGGTTGTTGTCTGAATGTGTTGTGTTGTTAGGTAGGAAAGGGGCATGTGGATGGATGTGAAAGTCAGCAGTGACTCAGCCTGGCTCCAGGGATTTGCATGCAGCTTTTTGTCTGAAGAACATGAGTGAAAATGGAGCAGGGAATGCCCCCCACTGCAGAAGTGAGATATTCAGAGAAGCTTTTGGAACAAGCAAGCTTCTAAATACAACTGTTTTCTTTAAGGACTTTTTACTTTTTGTCCTGACTTGACCTTCAAGAGGACTGGTGACAGCTGCTCTTGACACAGTGTCCCGACACAGGGGAGCTGTTCTGGCTGGCCTGGCTGCACTAACAGACACCACTCAGGACATTCCAGCAGGACAATTTTCACAGGAGGAGCATGCTTTGGGATTGTGTTCATGTGTGCACCAGGGGCTCTGCCTTTGCTGCACAGGATCCCACACTCATCAATTTACACTTGTGTTTCACATCAGGAATTTAGACCAGGCTGTTCTGTCAGAAGGAGTTTGTCCATCCCTCCCCTGAGTTCCTGGCCCTGCTGTGGGGTGGTTTGGGGGCTCTCTGACAGCTTTGCAGCTGCCTCCAGGGGAGCTGGTGTTTGGTTATTTGTCCAACACAACCCCTAAATGTGGTCCTCAGCACAGCAGGGTATGAGGAGCCATCCTTTGGGTAACTTTCTTTGCATCAGGAATGACCCCTCAGGTATTTCCATTCAGATGCAGCAAAGGGGACTGTGGTGGCTGTTTTCCTGGTGGTGGCATTACAAAAGCAGATTCTTCTAAGAAACTCAAAGTGTAGTCTTATGTAATTGCTTTCCATAAGAATCAGTAGGATCAGTACTAGTTTGATCTGTAAATTGTCCAGTCAAACACTCTTAACATGTTTTAAAATATGAATGTGTTGTCCTGATCTACCCTATAGGAATTAGAACTGGTGGAGGATGTCTGGAGAGGGGAAGCACAGGATCTTCTCACCCAAATTGCACAGCTCCAGGAGGAGAATAAACAACTGATGACAAACTTGTCTCACAAAGACATTAATTTCACAGAAGAGGAATTTCAGAAGCATGAAGGCAAGTTTGCTACTTCAAATTCAGTCCTTGCTTTGTTACAAAAAGCAAAACTTTATCAAAATACTTTCACTGGATATTCTGGTGTGTTTTTCCCTGTAGATTAATTCAGATCTGGGTTTTGAAGGCTTGTTTGTTTATTGGGGTTTTTTTTACCTAAATAGAAAATCTCTGAATAGATGATGACACTGAAGACATGATAAGAGGTGGAGCAATGAGAGAAAGAAAAACAACTCCTTGTTTGGCTGAGAAGCATCTCTGGAAGTAAAGTCTAGATACACCTTTTGGTCTGTCTCTTGTTTGGGTTCTCATTTTGCTGGAGGTGGATGAAACTCTGTCCAACACTGTGGAAGTTACATTTCCTCTCTCCCCGAGGCTCAGTGCTGCTCACTTGCACTGGGAAAGAGCATAATGAAACCTTCAAAAGTAAAAATTGTTAAGCCTCTCAAGATACTTTTTAAAACAAATGCAATGTTTTCAAATTAGGAGTCAATTAGTGGCAAAGAAGTAGCTCAACATCAGGCTGACAAACTCCATGCAAAATTCAGAATGGCAGCAATGAGTCATGGACCATGAAGACTGACACTGTGTTATAAAGAACCAGCTTCCCTTTTGTTTTCTTTTTCTTTCCCTTCTTTTTTTCCCTTCCAGTGGCTATCTAGCTCACTGCAGCTCATGTGCTTGCATTTAAATATAGCCATACTCTTCACATCCAGCCAGCCAAGCAAATGCCAGACGTGCTTTTCCTGTTATTTTTACTGTGCCTACCCATGTATGACAACACAAACAAAACCCATAAGCCCATTCCAGGGCTTAGATTCTGAGATCACTGATATTCTTTGGCCAAAATATTCACTTTAAGTGAAATATTTTAATTTATATCAACCCCATTTAATTATTTGTATCTATTATATCAAACCTGAGTGTTTTTCTTTCAGGACATATTGTCATTAATGAACAGGGATAGATTTGTCTCAAGTGCTTGTTTTGATAGTATCAAAAGCAGTTCTGCTGCTCTTTTTCAGCCTCTGTCCTTTGGTCTGATGTAGAGTCCAGAGAAGCAGCACTTCAGGCTCAATCCTGTGTTAGCTGGACTGACTCTGAGCAGACTCCAGTGCTCCCATCTGAGCATGGTTTAGCACTGTGATCCATCT